TATATATATAATGCTTTAAATGCTTTTCCTAATGTGTCCAGAAACGGGGGCTAACTCAAATAAATGATTCAAGAAACGTAGCTCAAATATATCAATCCTCCGCGTAGCTCAAATAAATGCGGGAATGCCAAAGGACACCAAAAAACCGAAGCAATATTAGAGTGGAAAAGCTAGAAACTGAATTTTTTTATATATATTTTTAAATTTTTTTTATTAATGAGTATTTAATGGTCAAATTTCTTTTTCAGCCTAAAAATATAACTAAATGAGAGGAGGTAGAGTTGTTGTGGTGCGTTGGGGCAGTGGATTGCAGCGGCGTGATGTGGCGGCGCGTTGTTGGGGTGTGTTGCGGCGCGATGGGGCGACGCGTTGTCGCGGTGGGTGGAGTCGGTGCGACGCATCGGCGCGAAGCCGCGACGCTACGCATTGCGGCGAGGCGTTGCAGCAGAGCAGTGCGACCATGCAACATGATGCGTTACTGCAGTGAGTTGAGGAGAGGCATCACGGCGTCGTGTTGCAACGGAGAGTCATGGCAGACGTCGCGGCGGGGCGTTGCAGCGACGTGATGGCGCGTTGTAAGGGTGCGATCGGCGACGTGTTGCGGCGCGGAGTTGCGGAGAAGCATTGTGGTGCTGAGTTGCGGCGAAGTGTTGCGGTGCCGAGTTGCGGCGAAGTGTTGCGGTGCCGAGTTGCGGTGAGGTGTTGCGGCGACGAGTTGCGGCCAAGAGTTGCGGCGTAGTGTTGTGGCGTCGAGTTGCGGAGAAGAGTTAGGGTGTCGATTTGAGCTGAAGTGTTACGGTGTTGAGTTGTGGCGCAGTGTTGCGATACTGAGTTGCGGTGTCGAATTACGGCGAAGAGTTGCGGTGCCGAGTTTGTTATAGAGGGGATCATTCCCAACAAGGCTTCAAATGATCCTTCCTTAAATTCTAACGACGAGGATATCAAAAGTGAATTGAAGAAAGTGTTCATGACGTCGATTAGAGCTTACTCTTTTGTAGCATAATTGGTATTGCCACATTGTTCGCACTACACAGATGTAATTATTTGATTTAGTTGGTTATTTGCAATCCCCCCCCCCCCCCCCCCCCCCAACCCGAGTATCTTTTTCGTGATAATTATGAAACATTTTTTGTTGTTTGTTTCTGAGGTTGCCTTGGTTTCTCAATCGTATGAAAATTTGTAATTTAAGTTAGCACACAAATTTAATAAAACGAAGAATCGCGTACCTTTTATGGATCATGTCTTTCTAGGTTGTGGTCTCTCAAACCTATGTCTTATTGGAGCTTGAACTAGTACTTATTGAGACTCGTAGCTTTCTGAGGTATTTGATGTATTTGTGCCTTTTAAGGCTTGACTTTATGGAGCATTGTAGTTTCTCATCGAGTCTTGTCCCCTGGGATCGACTTCCAGGGGTATGGCTGAAAGAAAAAATTCATTAAGGATGTAAGACCAGTTCTGAGTTGTATAATCGAAGATGTTTGACGGTATTAACTCGCAATGAACAAAGTCATATGAAATCCACTTAGAATGGTTGACCTATCCTAGGCTGTTGGTTGAAGCTTAAGCTTTTGCTTGACGACCACAACCTATTATGAAAGGGGTCGAAGGAAATCTACCAAGGATTTTTGACCTATCCTAGGTTGACGTCAAAGCATTTGTTTGACAATTGTAGCCTGTTATGAAAAATGTTGAATCGAGTCCCCCTTGGATCGATTAATCCCAGAATGAGGTGTCAGATATGTTCTGCATTTCTCAAGACTGAGGTGTAGGTTGCAATGAACCGTATGTTTTCTTGGAAATATAGTTGCAGTCATACTCAAAAAGAATGTTTGATAACTTTTCAGTTGTTGCTTTTGAATCTTCTGCCTCTCAGCTAGGGTGCTTTACATGTGAGCTTGTAAATTAGCCTATGTATGGGGCCTTGAAGAGATCATCTTTCTGATTTGGTTGAAGAGGGCCTTTAGTACGACGAGGGGCGCTGAGGAAGCATTGTTTTCGGTGAAGATTGCTCCCTATTCTAGGAGTGATTCTCGTAGACTCTCGTAGACTTATAATCGATCGGTGGTGGTCGATGACGGAAGGTAATGCTTGACAATGGTCAGCGGTGATCAACGGTGGTCGACGGCGGTCGATCGTGGTCGACGGAGGTCGGTAGTGGTCGTTGGCGGTCGGTGGTGGTTGACAACAATCAACGATGACAGGGAGGATGTTGGACTTGAACTCCTTCTCAAAGCCTCAAGTTCTCTCTAAAGCCTCCTCCTTCATGTGAGGGGTGAAGCTCCATTTATAGTGTTTTGGGTGCAATTAATGCATGAATATGAACCATTTTAATCAGACGGTCCGGAGAGCTTCCCTCGATCAGATGATGTTTGATGTATATTTGAGTGCATTAACGATGTCGGAATTTAGCAATCTTTTCAGAATTGAACAATCTTAGGCTCGTTGGATTTGTCTTGTCGAGATGCTCGATTCGACTTTGAACTCGCTAGATTCGGCATCCGTAAGATCTTCCAAATAACTCCAAAAATTCTCTAAGAGTGGTTTAATGATTTGATCCGGGCTTGATCTAACTCGGATTGGACTAATTTTTATATCATTGGATATGTCTCATCGAGCCGGTCAGTTTGATTATAAGTTTACTAAAATTAGAGCTCTGGATGACTCTTAATAGAAGTTCAAATGTTTCTCATTCAAAAGGTTGCCTCGAGATTCGT